ACGTATAAATAAATAACTCCACATTCAACAGTTGTTGAGTGATGTCCACTTGAATGCATCAATAATCATTAATCGTAATCCAATGATTTTAAACTTGTGCTTTAAGTAGCCTATATATTAATGCTACTACATAACATTTTAAATGCAGGATACAACTTGTACTTGTATCAAAGTATTTCTGTACTGTGGACTTGATATTTATTTTCTAAAGTAAATAAAATATGAGTACTTCTTACAGCACTGTGATCATTACTTGACAGCTGTGGTGTGGTATCCGTGCACGCGGTCTCTTATTATAGTCTGACGTCACATCAACGGCTAGCCGGAAGGCTGACGTCTACAAGCTTTATTTGCATATATGGTGAATGCAGCTTTTCGAAACACGTCGACTCAATTAACTAACCGAAAAAAAACGGTAGACATGTAGAGAACTTCCCCAAAAATAGTACACAGATGTAGACAAACAAACAAGTACTTTGAGTTTAGCACTGATTGTCACCCTTTGAGACCCAGGTGGTGTCTGTGAACGCTCCGCCCAGCTGGGAGCGAGAGGACGGTGTCAGATAAAGTGCTTTGGGAAGTCATTCCGCACCGTGTGCTCGTCTGCTGTGTTCAGTTCATGTTCAAGATTTGGGACTATGTTTTTGTATGAGGATTTCACCGCATTTACACGTTCGTTTACTCCTTCCCCGTCGCTTTACGGGTAGCGCGCGGGGTACCATCGCGTTCGTTGTTATTAACATCGTGACGGTTGAACTAACGGCTCAGTGATACAGTAGCTTCGGGCTATTTTTGACCTTAAAGTGGAAGTACTTTATGGAAATGCGAAGAATTCCCACCATGTTGTGTGTTTGCTTTCCCGGTTAGCTCGTCTTAACTGTACAGGACTCTACATAGTTACAAAGCAGACTTTATATTAATATATATATATATATATATATATTAAAGCTTTTCATTGGACTTTGCTATCTTTCACTACTTCAATGAACCATAACGTTCAGAGACAACATGTCATTCACAAGAGAACAATCGGACTGTTTGCTGACTCATCGTTGAGGCTGTAAACATGCTTTAATTCAGGTAAGTGCAATCATGTTGCACATGTATCCGGTCACTTATGCCTTGTTGTGATTGTGAAATTATGGGAAGACAATTCAATTTACTGTGTAGGCAATGTTTACTGACTTTATATATATTGTACTAATAAACCCTCAGTCATAACATGCCCTGGAATAAGTTACTGTACCATGAATGAGAATGACTGGGCCTTTATGTATTGAGCATATTCAAAAGTTGCATGTTATATAACAACATATAGCAGCAGTTGTGCACACTGATACCATAATGTAGATGCATTGGAAGATTAATGGAGTGTTTCTGCAGTGCTTCACCGTGTCAGACAGTCTCTTGGCTCTGTAGTTAAAGACTTGAGGGGAACTCAATCTTGTCTGAGAGACACCATTGAGATGGTTGCTCCTTGTGCACATGTCAGGATTAAAGGGTAACTCAAGATGCAAGCTTTCACTCTCCACTCAGACAGGAGTTCAAATTTAACGAGGGTTTTTATACTATGCAGAAGTGCAGCCTCACATATTCATATTTTTATACCACAACTGAAGTTGCTGTCAGTCAAGTCTCATAACTATGTGTGTGTGTGTACCGTTTTAGGCTGTGATCTATTACAGCCCAGACGGTGCAAAGCGCCATGGCATCAACGTGCTGGCACAAATTAGGATAAGGCATGACTAATTGCCCTTAGTGTAAGTGAGATGGACGTCCCTGGTGTTTTGGGTAGGGTAGGGTAGGGGGGGGTGTGTGTTCAAACACACACATACAGGCAGAATCCATGTGTGTGTTCCTCAGGCACCTGTTGGCGCATAGGTCCTGTAGCGCCACCTTGGCTGAGGGTGTGTTTACAATCAGATTCCCCCCCCCACCCAACAACAGCTGAATGTCTCCACTATTTGGACCCCCCCAAATTGCAGTTCAATATGTGAGGGTTTTTCCCAGACTGTGTGTTGTCTGCCTGTCTTCCTCTGTGCCCTAACCCTCTACTGACTAGTGTGAAGATACACTTCATGCCCATTACCCTGTGCATAGTACTCATTCCTGAGACACTGTAATATGACTTTGAGGGCCAACAGATAAGATGTCAAAGTGTGTGCTCGCATGATGCTAAGATTGGCGACTTACAACACAGAAAAGTCTGGAGTAATTTGTCTGGCAATGCCAGAAATCACAGACTCGGGGAGTGTAGATCAAGGTGAGTGATACACAACCTTTTTCAAACTGTCAGACATGAGCTTTCTGCATCCTTTACACGCTGGGTGTTGTATTTACTGTGAGTTGTGCTTTCCTTCTCATTTGTTGTAAGATGAGGGATCTAGCTGAGATTGGGGCACTCAAGTTAATGCAGTGTGCTTCTAGTTTTGTGGATGTTTTCATGTGTGTGTGTTGTGGTGTACTTGATTTTTACTTAGACTTTTCTCTGATCCTCCTTGCCCGCTGCTCTATCATTGGAGCTATGCTTAGCCACGCTTATCAGTCGGTAAGACCACAGATGTTTAAGGGCTTGGAATAGCTCAATGTGTAGCAGAGTGTAGACATCGGGTCTCAGATGCACTGACGGCGTCCGAAATAATTGACAGGAGCTTGGGGGCAGAAAAGTCCCTCAAAGATCAGGAAATGCCATTTGAATAAAAATAAAAAAAGACTTCTCTATACATTTACAATCTCCTTATTTGCATTGTGATAACGGCACATTGGTTAACTGCTCTATTATATCCATTTACAGCCCTATTGCAGTAGATGGAATGGGTTGAGTGTGTTTCACTGTGTGCAAGTCCCTCAGTTCTCTTGCTCCAAATAGTGTGTTTACACAGGAGTCGTGGTGAACATAATGCAGGTATGTGGCAGCAGATGTGTGTCATTATTGGCTCGATGACGCCATGTATTGTTCAGACACAATGAGCAGTTGCTAAAAACAATCTGGCTGTACCTACACATGTCGTAAACACTTAAATACAACACTTTTGATAAGATCAGGGGCTCATTCATGACATTTCTGTCGGGGGGGATTTAGCTTTGTCCTTATAGTGACCTACTGTCATGTTCTATTTTCATAATAATAATGTGCATCATTGTAAGCTTCTATACCCATGGTGCACACACACAGGTGTATTTACCTGGCCTGATTACACCTTGTGTGTGGGCGTGTACACTGACTGTGCATTGTTGACGTTGTCCAACTTCCGTCTCCGCCTAATAATATAGCTTTAAATGAGTGTGCATGGCCTTCAAGTAGGAATTAATTAGATTAAAAATTGACATTTTGTATGTACATTTATCAGATAAATTGAAGCACATAAGTCACATTCATTTCCTGTCATTGTCGTCGTTACTTTTCAATTGACGGTACTTCATAAGAACTGTTTCCTGTACTGAGTGCAGATTCAGAAGCATGGTATTTTCAGCACGTGTTCCCACGTGACCGATAAAAGAAAGTATGTGTCCCTGCTTCATCCAGTTCCTCCGTGTCTTATTAGGTCATGAGGGGTGCTCTCCTTAAAACCTTTACGTCTCATTCAATAATCCTTTAAGGCGTTGAGTCATGTGACATATAGAGTCTTTATGTGCTTGGGATAAAGCCGTTGGTGTGTGGGAGACAGAGAGGGTAAAAGTTTACTTTTACTTGCACAAGCGTGACGTTTATATTCAAATACTGTGTTTGCATGGCGGGCTCAAACTGCAGCATTTATCGTCACCGTGTAATGGACTTCACTGCGCACAATAGCCTTTCTGTGCTCAAAGCGATTCGCACAGCGGGGTTTATCTGGCCTCAACCGCCACCAATGAGTATTCAGCCAGTTTACCCCAGGGGAGTAGAAAGGTTACTCTATTGTATCAGACGCTCTTTTAGATGGGTTCCCTTCTAGTTTCATCGGTTGACTTTATAGCTCTAATCCCTGTGAGAAACGGGACACAAAGGTATGGCGTTTGATGGATGTTAACCCCGAACTGTGGCCTTATTTGATACGAGGAGGCCGTGTTCTCCCCCGGCCTCATGTGAGACTGTTTGCTAGTTACTGCAGAAGCATGCACTGCCGAAGAGGATAATTGAGAGATGGGGTGAACAGGAAGGAGGCACAGGAAAAGAGGGAAGTTGGGCAGAGAGGAAGTAGTGCATTGTCCATTCACAGAGGATGAATCCACCAGGAACACCATCAATTTAACGCTTATAATTTAGGCTATGTTTCATATTCAGGGCCTTACCAAAGCCTCGTCTCTCACCTCTCATGACAGGCCTGTGTTTCGCAGTGTAACAGAAGGTATATGAGCCGGAGATGATTCAGATGAACTCGCATGTCGGTTTGAAGAAAAGCCGTTGATTCAGCAGAAGGTTATGTGATGTCATTGTTCTGGCATCAAAGAAAACTTTGGGGGAAGGCAGGCAGTTGCTGAACTGGCCGTAACTCTACGTGTGTGTGTGTGTGTGTGTGTGTGTGTGTTCATGAATCATGTGAGAAAACATGCTTCTAAAGGCTTTATCCTTCACTTAAGGGGCTCTAATCCGATGCATGTGCCTTTACTTTTTATAATCTAAAAGCATGACACTTCAGTTAAACGTGATATTGTGTTTCGTATAAATGTTGTCAAGTTCTCAGCATAGCTTTGAAGCAGACTATTTATTTAAATGTTATACCATGCCAACAGTATAACTTAATAACAGATCATAGAATATGCTTTCACAACAGCGTGACTTACTCCCAAGTTGCTGCCAAGATACATTTCAATAGATATTTTTCATAGATGATTTCGGCTTATCAGGGAATGTTTATCGGATCGCACACATCCGCTCACCTGCACTGACGGGGTAACGCTCCTTGACGGTCACGTTACATGCACTCGATTCTTTGTTGACGAGATTAGTGCCGATATTCCCCACGGGATATTTTGAGTCTAAACCGAGGCTGTACCCATAATTATAGAAAAAAAAAAAGATCTAATTTGTAATGTAATCTTGATTGTTTGGACTGCAACTCGGGATTGCTTTAATAATTGATTTTTGACATTTTGCACTTCAGACGGGCTATTATATAAACAGCTTGTATTAATTGATTTAATGCGATAGAAATGAAACGACTACAGATGATCGACAGGGAAAACACCTTTTGATAGTTTTAATGGTTTTACAGGTATAGGTCAGAGTAAACGATCATTTTAATTTACATTCATTCAATTGATTCTGCACTGCTGATCCCACTGAGAACCAACACTCCACTTTGAGGGTCTGTGCAGCTCTCGGCCACTTTCAACGTACCTGTGTGGTTTGCTGGACCTCTAAACCAGTACAGATTCACATAACAACTCATAAACCCAGCACATCAGCTCAATAATAACCATTCTTTGCTAGCATGTCCAGCTGAGAGTTGTTTACTTACATGTATATATAAAGTGAACTTCTCTGCTCACCTGACATAACTCCAAAGTATTGCGAGGCAATGGCTACAAAAAGATAACAGTTAATGCCATCAGAAAAGCTGGCCTCGGGCTGCTGTCTGCCCGGCCTTCGGCTATCATCTACACAAACGACTGTAATGACCTCACTGACGGTGATTGACACCTGCGCTGTAGCCAATCAGAAGGTGAGAATTAAACGGAGCTGTCGAATGCCCTGCAGTCCTCTCAAAGTGAGGTTCAGGTGAAGGCCGAGGAGAGAACAGATACTCTCCCGTCTGTCCGTTCAGGGCGTACAATGAACGATGAAGCAGAGAGAGGAGTGGTGTGAGGAGAAACGTGATTATGGTGATTGGTGCGTGGACATCTGGGCGGCTCAAACGGGGAAGATAATTAGATTCTGCCAAGTCCTGCCATGACTTCTACTGCTCCATCACACCTCAGAGAGAGGGCAGGAGTGTTATTCTTATGGATGAGGACGGTTCGTGTCACATGTATGACTCATTTTGGTTCAGACTTTCTCTGTCACTATCTTGGTTCTGTGCGTGCATCCTAAATGAATGCAGCACCACACAAAAATATCTCTCTCCTCCTTATCATTGAGTAGGAAAATGAAATGCATCTTATATTCAACAGCTGTCTTTGATTGAAGCTTGTTAATGGAAGCCGAACCTGAAGCAATTTAAAAGCTGAAGTATTCCTTTGACTTTATTGCTGCTGGTGTGGGTTACATCAGACTCCCTGCTGGGATTTATCAGGGCGTGTACCGACAAACGGGAGATATGGAGGAGCCGGCAGTGCTCGTATTGTTTTACGACTGGCACTCAGCAGAAAACGGTTGACTGACTGGAACCAGTATGCTGTCGACCATGAAATGAGTCGGAGGAAATTGAACTCGCATTGAATCTTTATGAGAACCACAACAAACTCCTCTTAGCTGGAGTGACTTTTCATGTGCAGCTGAGGGCCCAGGCAGGGTCCGTTTCCCTATGTTATCCCCTCTGGTGATCCTCTGGTGATTACGGGGGCTGCAGCATGCACACTGGAAATTGCTACTTTGGCTTGTTGGTAAAAATGTCTTGAGCTGGGAGGATTAAGTAGCTTTAGTCTGTAGACTTTGTACCATATTGTGGATAGTTGATCAGCCTCTTTCCCTGCTGCAGATAATCTCATTTGTACTGGAAATGGGTCTCTGTAATGTGTTTCTTCTCTTCTTTTTAGTGTATTTTCCTCCAAAACATGATTTCTCCTCACCCACTTGCAGCACACTAGGTGTGGCTCCTAAAAGATGCCCTATCAAATATTAAACACACCCATAAAGGCTCTGTTCTCTCCACCCACACACCCATCACCACACACACACACACACACTTGCAGGGAGAGAGCCAGGCAGCAGACAGATCGACCTCTGAAGAGTGTCTTCCTGCTGCTGTGCTCTTTCTTTTGGGTGCTACATTACTTTCAGGTTAGATGTTTCAGAGTGACATGGCAGGGCGTAGCTCTGACTCCGGGATGAAGATGATCGGACTAGTCAACACAAGTTCACTGGGTTAAGGTAATCTTTTGTAATCTACTTTTCTGTGGTGCGTTATGAGCAATCGTGTCTGTGTGTTACTTCCAACATGCAATGAGTACACACTGTAGTTGTTCATGTAGCACATTACCACACCTTCTCTGTCTTTCTTCACTTCTCTCTACTCTCTCTCAACAACACTCTGTTGGTCTCTGCCATTTGATCTACCACAGTTAGCGTACAGCATTACCAAACCCTCTATACCGTCTCATTGGATTAGCATCACGTAGCATCCGTGCAGCCCAGACTATTGCTTTCACTCAATACACATTAGCCTAGCGTCAGTGTTGCTTTCATCCCTGTCTCATTCTATTAGCCTGCTCTAATGGCACTCTGTTAATCTCTTCAGGGGCAGAGCTGTGGCCCAGTACCGCTCAGACCAGATGACGGGCCTGGTTATTACTCCACTGGGACACTGGACTCCGTCAATATATGGAAATGAAGCTGCACTTTGGTTTAGATTCAGTAGGAGGTGAGAAAGTCATTTGGGCTTCATTTGATTGTCGGGTTGTATTTTTAAAGCCTTCATCCATTCTCAGAGCAGAGACTTTGAATTAGATATCATCCGGTCTACATATTTTCTTTAAAATAAATGGATCTGTACTGTTGGTTAAAACAAGCCTTTGGCTTTGTTGGGAGTCTCCACAGAGGAGAAGGACACGGCTCTTATGTGTGTGTGTGGGTGGTCCTTTATCTTGTGTAAGTGTGGAGCCAGCTGGATGACAAACTAGGCTCTTCAGACAGGGCTTATATAACATTTGATCCATATAATTGATTGGTTTGTCGCTATGAAAGACAGATTTACCACAAGATGGACAGAAAGATATATAGAGAGAGATGGAGGTAGGGAGGAGTTGCAAGTTGCAGCTGCCTTCAACATCGTACTATTTATGAAACCGTGCCACAAGAGTCTTCATCTTCTCTCGCTCACTCCAGCCATCCGTCATGTGCTTCACTCCACGCGTGGCTGTCTTCATTATGGAGGTGAATCACAGTCCATGATGGTTTGAATTGCTGAAATATAGTGATTTTAGTTTAATAGTTTGTTTGTTTTTTTCAAAGGAGAAAGCACTCTTCTTCTTAAGTCTTGCTGAAGCTACTTTTTGTTTGGATTTTCAGCCTCTGCAGTTACACACACTGCTGTTGTATTTAGGAAGCTATTCTGAACATTTAACTATAATTTACCACTCTACACAGGAAATATGATAACAGCTAGGAACAAGGACAGCAAAGCTGGGCAAATATATACTGTATATATATTTAATGCTTTAAAAAGTATTTGGCACTAATGTACACTAGGGGTGTAGCAGTCAGTACACAGAAGTCACAGTACGCTTTACACCCATGTTTATATACAGCTTTGATTTCAGTTTCTGATATTGTTTGTTTTCTTTTGAAATTGCTTTTTTTACATCTGGCATCCCTCACTCTGGATCCTTCTCTGGGGTTTCCACAGTCTCAATAAAGTCAAATAAAAATCCTCCCCTTCTCATTCTTTCAAAATTGAATGAAGGAGAGTTAAGAGAGAAAAGGTGGATGAAGCCTGACGTTCTGCTGTCAGAGACATTGTAGTGGGAGAGAACTGTGAGCATTGGGAGATGGGGTCAGACACAGCAGAATAGAGGGTTTACTGTGTGTAGTAGAGCACATTCATTCATGACCCAATAGATCGTAGCCCTCGGCCCGTCGCATCCTATCTGCATCCATCCTGTTACTCTGGAAGAATGCATCTTTGTAGTGTGTGTGTGTGTGTGTGTGCAGTTCAAAAGTGAAAGCTTTGCCAGAGGAGTAATAAACGTCCGTATTCTTGCACAATCCAATTGTTCAGCCTTTCCTGCGTCTCTGCCAGGTGCGTTCTGTCTGGCTGTCCTCTGAGTCGGAAATGAAGTAAGGCCAAATAACCTCACTGGCAGACAGACGGGAAGCTCCCATTTCTCTGTCTGCAGAGAGTAAGAAAAGATGTCATCTCACCTTCCTGCTCATTTCACACACGGGGGATGACTGCTGAGATGCTAATATGCAGGTCTAGCAGGAGATCTCTCTGTGGGAGAAGCCTGAGGTTTTGTGTCACCGTCTCTTCACGTCTAACTCTATTTAACAGTAACTGTCTGCATCTCTGTGCATTCCATTGTGTGTATTGTTCGTCTCCCTTGACGGGGAGTGAAACCGCGGCGAAGCTGTACAAGCACCGGGTGATATTGGAAGTTGATCTCGGCCCTTCGTCAGTTCTAGGAAACAGACGCAATCTATAAAACATTGAGGTTTTGGGGAATCGAGATACAACTGCAATGAAGAATACAAACAAGAAAACAAAGAAACTTCATTGTTATATCTGTAGATTTCAATGTTGAATCGGGTTAAAATGAATCAACAGCTCTTAGGCTTGTTCGACTGTCTCTCATTGCAGTGTACATCATTTGTTTTTACTGGAACGTTATGTTTTCACGATATACAGAGGTATGATTACAACCCTTACTTCAGTCGGACTGTGTCTCTGTTGTCTTTACATTATTTATCTTTTTACACTGTTAAGATTTCATGTTTTCTTTCGTATGCAGTGCAGAGGCACAAAAGGCACGTTCTTTGGTTGATAAGGGTTTAGTGCAAACCATTTGCTAGATGTTAGTGAAGCTCTGGTCTATTTATTTACAGTTCTATACTCTGGGGGGGGGGGCTGGCCTACAGATATGAGCGTTTGACAGATGGCCTGCACGGTTTACTGCTCTACCTCTGAATGTGTGTCAGTCATTAGAACGCTGTTGTTTATGTGTGGTCCTCTGGAGCTGACCTGTGTCTTTGTCCCAGTATAAGGGATCAGGGCCGGGCATTAACCTTAGTGTGTTTCTAGCACCGAGTAATAGAACCAAGATACTTTCAAGACACATTTACTGATTTTAAAATAATAATTTCTTCAAAGTGTTTACTTAGTGCTTGCACTGATGAATGTATGTGGCACTTTTTTTTTTACAACAAAACTTATATATAACAAGAATTGAAGCTGTGGATTTCTGGTGACTTGCACCAGCACTGCAGACGGCCGTATGATGAGTGAGATGACCCAGATGAATAAACGTTGGCAGTGTGTGGATCTGCCACGCTGGACGTGAATGAAAGTTGAGAGGTTGTGGGTTCATTCACAGTAGCAAAAAAAACAACCCCTAATCGAATTGCTTCCCATTAAACACACACATAGACGCATACATTCCCCCCCCCCCTTCCCCGGGGCAGAGAGGCTTTGGTTGCCCTGCCTGCACATGCTGACCTGATTTTGTGTGTAACTGTGTGTTTGTTAGTGCTCGTGCCCATGTGTGTCTATGCAATGGATTAGGATGGTGGCATAGCCAGACTTCTATGGCAGTGGCGAGTGTGTCTCTTTTAATTGTAGACGCGTGTGTCTGCGCATGGGAATGTGGGGCAGTGTGGAGTTCTTTTTTTTTTTCCCCCGATTAGGAGACCCACATTGTAACACAACACCCCTCCCCCACCCCTTCAAAATTGAAGTATCTGCCTTTTGTGTCTTTGTGCCAGTTTGTCAAAGGATTAACTCACATGTGAGAAATTGCTCGATCTACTGTGGACGAGCAACACAGCAGGCATTTCTTAAAAGTTAATTAATGAATGTTTGATGCAACACTCATTTATTTTCTACCGGGGTGAAAAAGTCTACAGACACCTTTTTAATAACTGCTTTGCTCCCTCATGCAGATGGATCACTTTCTGCTAAGCGCACCAGCCATCTGGATCTCACTAACTTTCCTATTCATAATCTTCCAGCACTAGCCAGATGGATGTAACACGCAGGTGCACCACAAACGCATGTACACTTGTCACATGGCTGATTTGGAATTGAATGATTTTATAACAGGAAGCGGCCCCGTGTTCTCCCTCTATTGGCTTTACATGCTGTACGTCCTCCATTCACTATTCATAGTGCTGGCCAGCTTCCCAGCGCTGGTTTTTCTTCTTGTCCTCCAGGCCTTGTCTGTTTGCCCGTTGTTTTGTTGGCCAGGCGTGTTGGCGCCATATCCTGCAAAAACCTGCGCCAGCTACAGGTCATGTGTAAAACTCTTCCTTTTATTTACCCTCAAGTTTTCGGAGATTTTATGTAATGATTACATTATTTCAAACGAATCACAACAAGCACACTCTTCAGTTTCCTGCACTGGATTTAGTTTCATACAGTGGTGCCGTCTACTTTGAAAATAGTCAAGTACTTAGAACATTGTTTAAGGAAGAGACATCAGATTCATCATGTGTGATTTAAAATTTGTGGCCCTGTACCAGTTGCATGCAATTGAATTGGCCATTGTGTCTCTCACATTACCACGTGGAAGCGTCATGCCAGACTTTCCGGGACAAAGTCTCAAGTCACCCTGTAAGCTTGCCAGATTAATCCCTAATGCTCCTCACAGTCAGCGATCTTTGAAAAGGAGAGAGACATGCAGCCACTGCAGGAGGTGGACAGGACGAGCTGTGGTATTATTACTGCTTATCTTTACAGATACATTACAGATCAGGGCATACGTTCACAAGTGTGTGTCTCTGCGTTTGCTAATGTGTGTTTCAAACTACATTTGAGTTTCCTCTTTCACTCAACCTGTAATGGAACTTTTCACAGTAGTGTTTTTTTGTCATCAACAGGACTATGTTAACCAATTAAAGTAAGATATAAAGATGCTTGTCAGTGTGTCCCAAGTCATGGACACTTAAATCTAATCTGTCTGTCTTTTTTCTATTCTTTCCCCAGTTGAGTGTGATTTCATGTTCCTCCATGCCTTTGTTGGCATCTAATGGAAGAAAAAGCACCCACCAAGTCTGCCATGGTATCTAGACTGCCTAAGTTCGGTGGACGCTCCTCAGCTGGTGGTGCTAGCCCTTTGTACAATGGTTCCACACAGCCAACCACCCCTACCCAGGATGGTAAGACCACTCCCCCGGCAACACGCCCAAATGGTGTAATCCGTACCTCTCCTTTTTCACTGAAATGGAAGAGAGATGAGGGGACGACCCCCCCGAGCCCCACCACCCCAGCCAGCCCTGGAGATGGAGTTGAAGACGAGGCTCAGACACAGCTTCCCTCATTGGCAAAGGAGGTAAAGAACGGCTCTCCGGCGACACCCAAGATGCGGAGGTCAGGTGCTTTGATGTTGGCTGTCTCCAGTCCCAAAGCCATCCCTAAGCAATCCTTGAAGATGAGTCCCAAAGTAGGGACCAAGCTAGGCCGAAGCCCACTGAACGGCGGTCCTAAAATGGGCCATAATGGCTCCAGCGTTCCTGCTCGAGCAGGGTCGGAGTCCCGCCTTGCGCGACCAATGTTTGACTCCAGCTCTCCCCGCAGTAGCTCTCAAGACAGCCTGTCCCAGTCCAGTGACAGCCTGAAGACCTTGGCCCAGGACAACATGGTGCGGTCAAACAGCTTCACTCACTTTAAGCAGATTCCCTCGCCCAGCAGCCAGCCCATGATACGGTCCTTCTCCTTTAACCGGGCTGTGGAGTTAGCCAAGCCTCTGGCAAACACTCAGCTCCGGCCTCCTCGGAGTAGTTACCTCAAACCCCCTCAGCTGAGCAATGGTAGGGTGAGTTTAGGACTTGGAGGCCTGCATGGAAGCCTTGGAGGTTCAGGAGGTCTCAGTGGAGGACTTCAGTACAGTAGACCTCCTTCAGCTGCCTCCTCTCTGCCCACCCTCTCGATCCCCCCAGCACCCAACACTCCCAGCGCTTTGAAGAAGCCACTGCTCCCCAGTTGTGTCCTGACCAAATCACTGGGCGGCAGTCGGGGGGCTTTGGGTTTCAGGCTGGCTCGATCTGGGCTGCAAAATAATCTTTTTCCAGGAAGGGTCAAGGGGGATATCAGACCTTCAGCTGCCCCTAAATGTGCGGGGCTATTAGCGATAGCAATAGACATTGAGCGGACTGGTGAGGCTGACAAAGCAGACTCCCAGAGTGACAGTGATGGAAGCTCTGGAGCAGGAAAAGGAGGAGGAAGTGGTGGGGTTAGGAAGAGCTCTGGCCAGACAGCCGGCGAGACTCTGGAGGACATGTCCTTATCTTCGGCCTCATCTCTAGACCGAGGCGACACCAGTGAAGAGTTTCTCGATGACTTTGACTGTGTGGGCGATGTGTTCAGTGATGTGGACCTGCCTGACAACAGAAAGACTGGCAGCACTACTCAAACCCGCTTGCACAGCTTTCTCAATGAGACCCTTGACTGGGACTCTATGGATCTGGCAGGTAAAAAAAAAAATGATTTAAAAGGAAATTCTAGTCAAAATGTGTTACATTTGTGTCAGTTGTTCAGTACAGCTTTTGTATGTCTTCTGCAGGGCATAAAGAAGAAAGCCCGATGCAGGACTCCCAGGGACCACTGGTGTTGTCTTCAGAGCAGAGTGATGTCCTTCAGGCTTCGCCTGTGGAGCTGTCCACCTCCAACAGCTCTGGTGGAACCTACATGTGGGATGAAGATGGTCTTGAGCCCATCGAGGGGCCTGGGACACATCCGTGTGACAGCTTTGATGATTCAGAGCTCAACAGCATGGTGAGTCCTAGATTCCAACTTTCATTGAATTGTGACATAAATGTGTACAAAAAAAGCATAACCTTTGTTAATTTGGCCGTCCTAATATCCGGTCTTTCTTGAAACTATTTCGCCACTGGTTCCACTTCTTGCCACTGCCTTGACTAATTAACGTGAGGTGTTGAAATCAACTATATCTCAATTGTTATTATTAAACTGATAAGAAAGTGAGCACTATTGTTGTAACGTCTGCCAACAAGCTCCCCGTGCTCTCCACTCTTTCTTGCTTAATGCCAACTGGTAGGTTGCTCTGTAGCATATTTCACCAAGGAAGAGGGATGGAGAGCATCCAAAACCGTTTAGCGAAGATAAGGTTACAAAAGCTAAAAACTTGAGAAATTGATTGCTAGTTGGCAAAGACTAGCCCTGACTGAGAGAGTTGACAGAAATGTGAAAGGTATGACACCCTAAGAGTGGTCTGATACATATTATAAAAAAAACTCCTTTCTGGTGTCAACCAAAAGTCACTCTCTCGCCTTCAACTTGTGTCATCACATCACCCTAATCCTGGCTTCTCTCTGTTGACTCCCTGTTCTTTTTAGGATTGATGTTAAGATATTACTGATCACTTTTAAAGCACTTCCGGGTCTGGCCCCTAAGCTACATAGCAAGAAATGTTGACCCGATACGAGCCAGCTTGCAAACCTTAGATCCTTCTGGCTTTTCCAAAGTCGAGGCTTAAAACTAAAGGACCGTGCAGTTTGCCATCAGGGTCCATTTGCTGTGGAACGACCAGCCTGGGGAGATGAGGCTTGCAGAATCAGTAATCTCTTCTAAATCACTTAAAACCCATTTTTATAGACTTGCTTTATGGGATGTTGTCTTTTTATCATCAGTCTATCGTCTTCTTTTGCTTTTTTTTTTTTTTTTTGCGCTTTCCACTTTATTTGTATCTATTTTATTTACATTTTTTATTGTTTGTACCTATTGTAGTGTTTTATCTTTTCCCTTAGTGTTCTCTTACTCTTGTTTGGCTTTCTGTTGTTGCATTGCCTTGTATCCTGCTTTTACTTCGCTTTGCCAAAGCACTTTGTAAGCTCCTGTTTTTTAAGGTGCTGTATAAATAAAGTTCTTATTATTTTTCATACAAGAGTTCAAGCATCCGCTCAAAAGACAAACAATGTCGGCCTGTAATATACATTTCAAAAGACGAAATGTACATATTGTTGGCTTCAGGAGCCAAACCTAGATTACCCTCAATCACACTGCATACTGATGAATATATTTTACTCGATATGAATTCCATGGGTGTGATAAAGCTTATGTTTGCGTGCCCTGCTGTATCACTATTATACTATTACATATGAATTTTAGGTATTTTTATCCGTAAAGAATATAGATATGCAGTATTATGCAATCGTAAGATCCTTCTCTTTGGTCTGTGATTGGAAAAGTTTTTTAAAGTTGGTCCATCAAAGTGTTTGACGTGCTGTGGACAGTAATGCAGGTCCTGCTTGTTATGTCATTAAGCTCAACTTCATTTAGTAGAAGGTTGACTTTGTTCAGCTAATAGACTTAGGGGCCATTATCACATGTATACTGTCCTTGTAGACCTGCTTACAACTACAGGCCTTTTTTTTTAGCAGTTTAGCACAAGTAATTCCTCCTTCCTTCTATAATTGGGGATTAAACTGGCAGAACAAAAGACTGAAAAGGAAAGCAAAACTGTCTAGAGGTTTCTGCCGACTCTCGCTGCCGCTTTCATGCCAAGGCCTCTCTCTCTCTCTCGCTGAGAGCAACGCTGACCTGGCCCCCAACTGCATGTTAATAGCATCGCTGGCCTTCCCTTCGGCGCTCTGTATTCCTGTACGACGGCACCTCATCTCAGGAATGCGTAAAGAGCTTGAAATGAGCAGGATTATAAATGATATAATAAGCTTTATGTGTTTACTGAAAAGGAGGAGAGAGCCGTGTGTGTGTTGTTTAGCAGATTAGTTGAACCGTCATCATGGGGTAGACTTGTTTCGATGTTTTGAAAGGGCAAAGTGTGATAGACATTCCGTAATAGCAGACTGGAGACAATAGTGGACAGTAACGTCTTTAAGTGTACTGATCTCTGGTCAGAGAAGAAGGGAATAGTATTAGTCCTTGCTTTAAGGGAGGGAACGGTTTGATGAGTGAGCGGGCGCTAAAGAGGAAAAAGGGAGTGAAGACTAGAACCTGAAAGAGAAAGGGAGAGATTTACTGTAGTGACTGATTGCTGATCAGCTCTAAAGGGAGCGGGGCGTTTGATATATTTCACTGAGGTATTTGATTAGAGTAAATGAGCCCACTTACTGTAATTAAATGCACTAAGCTCTCTCTGTCCCACCCCTTTTACTCCTATTTTCATTTCATCCATTTGAATTACTAACTGTTACTCAGTCCTATACCTTGTTCACTGAATAAATATTCCTGAGTAATGAGCAGAAGAAAAGCATGAATATAGTCAAAAAGCAGTGTCCAAAATGACTTATCCTGCGTTATCTATGGGCATCAAACAATGTATCAATGCGTTTCTTTTGTAGTATTTGAATACAATGTATATAGTTTGCCAGGAAAAGCTACTCCTGCTCTGAATTTGATGCTGCAGAAAAAGAAATGCAGGGTAATTAGGCCCAATTTTAATCTTGTAAAAAGGCAAGGCCATCATGGCTCCAAGCCAAAAGAACAATAAACACTCTTAAGAAAGACTGGAACTGCTGTTTATAGCATTTGTGTAATTAAAACCCTCCCTGTGTTTGTTTGTTGGTATGAGAGAATGAATTAGATATTAACTAAACCTAGCAGGTTTAGTTTGCTGTGCTGCAGTGGCACGCTCGGTCCACTTGGAGGCGCTGTGTATCCTTAAGACGACCCGACGTGCGTGTGCGCGCTCGTGTTCCTGGTTTGTGTGTCCCAGTATTTTTCTGGCTATATATGGCTCTATCTGCATTCTTATGCCTCTGTGCAGAATATAGGAGTGGGCTACCTGAGCTGATAATAACATTCTCATGATGCACCGTGCAGCTCGGTACAGTACCGGCTTTAAAAACACTGGCATTGTGAAACACAGGGCCACTTCTCAGTGACTGCTGATGTTTCCCAGGCCTCGGCGCAATTTTATAATGCGGTGCAACAGCATCAGAAGACCCGGGCACAATTTATATTTAAATGGTTGAATTATTTTGAAGTATTCACACAATCATGCATAGGGTGTGGCGGAGGAATAGCTTTCTGGTATTTACATAGGGGTGGACACAATAATAGCAACACCTGTGCAGTGAACTACAATAGCTCTGCAATACATACATCCTCTGTGAAGCCTATGATATTCCATTTCTTTTGAAACTGTGTCTGAAGGTTGTTGTGCTGTTGGAAGGCTTTATACAGCTAAGCCGTTGTCTCCCCTCTGTATTTGCCTCTCAATTCAAGGCGTTTGCAAATATTAAGATATAAGTTTTAATACGACATAACTAGAATCAACACCTCTACCAGATCTCCATCAACCACATTAACACATTAGCAGTCTCAAACGTTGTATGCATTGCAGGGTTATTATATTGTATTGCTCTACATTACCGTCACCAGCTTTCATCTTTACATGACCTCAAACTGTATGGTCACACTTAAACAGATAAGTAACTTTGAGAAGTAGTCAAACTTTTGCTGTAAAGTTTCTGTAATTAGAAGCAATACATTTCCCTCTGAGTTACAGCCCAGTATCCCTCCACGCATCATGAAACCTTGCATGGAAACCGCCTGAACGTTTCCCTTTTGCCTTTTATAACTCTGTCAGTTTGTATCCCTTCTGCTCTTGGATAGCCTAATCCTCTAGTTCTCCCTTCACTTCCTCAAAGCCACGGAGCTACTGCTGCCTCTTATCCCTGATATATTTATTTTGCCTCTAATTTTAGTTTTTTTTTTTTTTTTTGTTTTTTTTGCCAGGTAGAGACAGGTCAATTCATTAGTGTTTAACTTAGTGAGGTACTTAAGCCTTTTGTCTGCAGAGTGCTTAGCCATTTCTGGAACATGCTGCCAGTGAACCGGCTATGCTGTTGCATTAATGAGGCTTAATAGCTGACCTGCTTTTGTTTGTCTTGATTTTAAATTGACAGCAGCAGCCCTTTCCAGATAAACAGTATTGTTTGTGAACCTGTTTTGAAAGCATTCATTGCTTTCAATAGAGACCATCACACACAACTTGTGTCAACTGCTGTCTGAGTCATTCCCAGAATTACAGCCTATAGTTCCTATGATTATCCATTATGACTCCCTGTATTTTCCGACCACAGTCGTGACTATTATTTTCCTATAGATCATTACCATGCTGCTTTTTAAAGCCACTCTGTCTCTCAACTGGCCCCCACATATTACACATCTTAAATTGGCTGCTTATTGGTCCCCTGTGAGAGATAAAGGCCACAATATATTAGCTGATTCCGAACATAAAAGCAGAACCACTTTTCACGGACATGATTTGGTTGATTAAGTGTGTTCAGATTATTGACTATATTTTACTTGCAGCTACATGATTAGCAGTGCATCTGTCTAACGTTTTAAAACACTTAATTTCTGAGCATAATCTCAAAACTAAAGTTTAAATTTATAGGTGATTATTCTTTAACTTGTACTCCGTCATACACCGGACTACAATTACCTTGATGCTTATCCACACAAGTTCAACTAATGGACACAAGTTGTCTGCATTAAGGCTAATCTAGTGATGTTCCTTGAACGTTTTTTTACGGCTAAATTCATTTGCTACCTATTCTTGCTTTGAAGAAGGTCTTTGACCGAAGGCTCACTTTATAAACATTTTTTGCACATATTTGAGAGTGCGGATGCTTCTATTTTGGGACTTGATCTACAAAAAATCATTTTCTAGGATGTGTATTGAGTTCCTAAAATCTGGTCCTGAATAATTTGAAAAGGACGTTCAACAAAACAGAATTATTTTCGTGTTTGTTCGGGAGAAAGACGCATTGAAAGATCAGTTTTTACATCAGATTTCTAAGACATTATACAAATACAAGATCAATCAAATGCATAAAGTATAAAGATCCCAATAACTCACTCTCTCAAAAGGCATCCATCATTATATTCAAACTAAGCAGAGCACTAATTGTATATGATACAAAGCAAAAAACAACAAAATGAAACTACTTATATTGTTAATAACAGTAACTACGTCTTAACAACAAACCCTGTTCAAACTGCGATCATCTTATAAAACCTGAGGTTTCTGAGTGCAACAGGACGTGTTGACAGTCTGTTTTATGTGTAAGGTGTATACACTATGGCACAGTACGCACATTATTGTCATTTCATCAACAATAGACACATCTTGAGCACCAAACAAAATGTGAAAAAGATAAAACTGGAAAGACATACTGATTTGAGGATTACCTAACTCTATCTAGCTCCGTTCTGCAGCTGCCATCACTCGTCAAGCAATTTCACTCAAGTGTGCCTCCTCCGCACTGCTGCTGTTTCCTTCTCTGAAAGTTTGCCTGTGCATCGCATAACACAACGGAAATAAAGTGTTAATATAAAGGACACGGACATTTGTAGCAACATGTTTCTAGCAGGGGTATAACTGTAAAGTCACGGTGTGATGCGAGTCTGGTACAGTGGGAGAAATAACCAAATGCATAAGGATCCGTTTCGTTTCGTTTCATTTCATTTGAACAGACGGTAGTGCAAGTGTCAAAGACATCTTCCTTTTGCTGGGGACTGACGTAGCATTCTGCCCGCTGGCAACTTTGGTATACAATTTTCATGATAGAAATAAGGAACATTTCAAACACTTCCGTATTCCTCTGCACAAACACTCTCCCTAAAGGCAAAGGGTCACAACAGGCTGTACAACTGAAAAGCATCTCTTATGCTATGAAATTGAAAATATGGAATAGATGTTGCCTCTTGGAAGGCTGTTATTTACCGTGAAACAGTATCACTATCACTATTCTAGCCAAAGTTGAAAGGGAAGAGAATGACACGAGAATCAATGCAAAAACTGATTCTTTTTTTATATTTGAATTAAGATTTCCTGGTATTCTGTATCTTTCTTTGTGAACCCATAATTTGGATTCATTCTTTGGACATTCAGACTCCCACCACTCATTCATTTCTCAAGCACCCAATTACCGCTGTAAGACCAACACGACTTTCACAGTGGCTGTACTGGATTATCCTACATTTCACACATCTCACAAAGGTTCCCTTCAGTCGTACCACAGAACAATCCGATCGTTCACGACGTTCAGTAAGACGGACAATAAGAAATAGGTCTTCGCTCAACAGCTGCAAACGAGTCGGGTAAATGGATTACAATGACGTTTGGAAATGATCGGGGTAGAGGACAAAGCCTCCATCAAAACCACCAGCGAGTCCCAAGTCATAGAGTGTAAGAAATGATTCTGTGAAGTAGACGTGCTAATGTCACACAGGAGACACACACACACACACACACACACACACACACACACACACACACAGCAGCAGCTGAGCACAACAGCCCCCAAACTTCTACGTAAAAACACTGCATCAGCAATCGCCTAGTATTTCTGTATTTTTCAGGACATTATTTTGCAATGCGTTTGACCTTTGGAAAACTAATGATCCACGAAAAAAAATGTTGATTTCTAGCCCTCGTCTCTGATAGAGTAGCTCAACTGAGATTTCATTACAAACTAATAGAAAGGTACTGGGCTGAAAAGAGCGGCTTGCTTCCTGTGAGACAAAAGAGAAGACAAAGACAGATGTATCTGCGAAGAGTCGAAACACTTCTCCCTAGCAGTTATCGATTCGATTTATGTAACGCTGAAGTTTGAACAGAAAATTAGCCGCCTCCTTTGCCACGTTGGCTGTATGGTGTACCACGATGCTAATTTACATGCAGCCCACAAATACCAAACATCTACCAGAGATCCTGAAAAGATACTCTCAAAGAAATCGACGGGTAGAATCAAGGTACCTAGTAATGAGCTTTTAATTTGCTCCACAAATCTGCTGTGCAGACAACTCGGGTCATTAGAGGGCAAACTGTCAAAGAGAAGTTCAGCCTCAGAACTTTCCCAGCGAGTTTGAAGGTTTTAATCTGTGTCTGATCCAGCTGTGTTTGTTGGAAGATTCCTCTGATGCGGTGGGATCAGAGAGTGTGCCATGAAACCGAGTATGTTGGAAGACCTTCCCTCGGCTGTTACAATTGTGAATGCTGCTCACGCTGCAGGCTTTTTGGACAACCGGTTCAAGATAGATAGAAAATATGCATGTCATGTGTCAAATTCAAGTCAAATCATTATTCCTTTAGTGCGAGCAAGCTCAACAACTACAACTTAATTGGCTCAAAGCTGCTGCATTTTGATAACGGCGCGTAACAGATATTGTCTTTGCAGTCGAGTCCAAGGGTCCACAACTTGAATTCATTATTAATCAACATTGTTTTTACACTCTCCATGGAAGAGGGACGAGTGCAGGGGTCATTGTAGCAGGACGATTGAACATCTTGCTTAGCAACACATCATCAGAACGAAATATTGTGAATGCACAGGACACACTGGATATTTGCTACTGAGCATTTGCTGTTCTGTAATTTCAGTAATCATCCTTTCCGTTGTGTGGTTTGCTCTCAAACCTCTGGAGTTGCACTCTGTCAATGACAACAAAGACAGTCAATGGAAGGCACGACAGAGACGGAGAGGAATTATGCTGGAATGAAGAAAAGAGAAAAAAACAATAATGTATTGCGCCACAATTTACTCATGATGTGTGTACAGTATGTGAGCAGAACGTAAGATGAAAGATAGGAATGAAATCTTAAATGTAACTGGCAATACAATCAAAACACTTTTCCCACCATAATGATGTCGTCATAATGCAGGCGATTTTGCGATATGCTGCGAGCAATCATTTATGATACATCTGTGTCTAACTGAAGAGAAAGGGACTCCTGAAATGGTAAAATTCTTCCTTTGCGAAATTAGGGATTCATCATACATTTATTTACTGCCTTTTTATTTTAAGTTTGCACAACTGTGATGAAAGTATGTGTAATAATACACAAGATGTCCACGCTGGATGCGTTTCGGGTTCATCCATCTGACGGAAATAATACAATTCAATTGTAACCACTGATTGTAACCAGCCCACTGAGTCTTTTAGAGGCCTTTCTCAGTCTGGGTGTTTTTCCACTTGCACAAGTGTATGATTTAGCACTGAGCTGTGATTTTTGTCAAACTGTGTAGACACTGACGATGGACTCTTGCTGCTGCTGTTGTGCGGCTGGTGTACTGTACAGAGGGTCTTTTTAAACAGGTGAACTGTCAAGACAGCTGAAAAGATCCAGAGATGAAATGTTTGGAGCAGAGGAAGAGTGTACTTATAGCTCTGTACTGTATCACAGGATCGCAATTTTGAGGTCAATATGTCGCTGACATTTTACTGTGCGGGTTTCTGAAAAAGAGAGAATATAAGGAGAGCAGAGAGCAACAGGGTGGAGGAGAAAAGAGAAACATAAATCGGAGGACGGTAAGGAAGTGAGAGAATACAACAGACGAGTCGGGTCGATTTATCAAATGACAAAGATGCCTCCCACATCTTGGTTGACAGTATTTGGATGGCTCCAGAAGTGTTTGTTTATTCTTTTCCCTTCATTATTCCTTTTCATTACGCCTGAAACACTGAGTACCAGCCAGTTATCATGCAACCCATGAGATTTCCTATAATGAGTCATTTTATGCTGTCAATTTAGTTTCATGAAGCACAAAATTGCCTTGAAAAATAAAGCTTTGAACTATTGATTTGCTTTTGGGTGTGCTTTGAATTATTCGGCGGTAGACGGCAGCGCGGCAGTTAGACTAACTGCATATTCTGAGTCTGTAATGAGAAGTGTTTTTGTTGCCTTTTCAAAGTGTTCTGTATTATCATTCACAATTGAGCGATATTTTCCAGAAGTCTGTGCTGTTATCTGCTGATGTATGGGATAATCTGAGCTTCTGGAGGGAGAGGCTCATGTGAAACGGTATCAAAGACAAATGTGATTTACAGCCCTTCATAAACTGTTATTGTTAATGACAAAATTGACAAATTACAGGGATTGAAAATGCGTATTAATGAATAGATAACGAAACAATGAATGTTTAAATGTCATAATGCAATTTAAAAAAACGCCATGCATAATAAATGCAAGAGTTCATCATGGCTTTCTTTTTATGAAATAATGCGATTACGTTACTTTGTGTTGGCGTTCCTGCTCTTGTGTCCAAACACTGTTTTTTTTTTTTTGCATAGCCACCTCATTCTCACATTCATGAATGAAAAGACTACTGCATATCTCAGCATCAGTTAAACCTCTGTGTGCTAACGATGTTGGAAGAGGTTGCTAATACCAGACCAAGGACAGAAGGTTCCTGGTTTAGATTTACATCCATTTCTGGCTAATTGTATGATTTTTGGAATAAGGTTTATGTCCATACACACAAAACAAATGTGCTTGTAAAGCTTTATTATTTGCAGGAAAAGGCTTTTTTTTCTTCTTTTCTTTTTCCCATTTGTGCATTAAGTGTTTTTTTTTGTTTTGTTTCTGACCGTGCACGTCCATGTGTCTGGCCCCTGGGGTCTAGTTATTTCTATCCCAGCAGTTGGTTTTGCAGAACAAAATCCCTTTTTTGCCCAGAGGCAGAATGATGTAATGACTCTAATGCACCCATAATGTGCCAATAATGCACCTATAATGTTATCTAATGCCTTACAATGAAGGGATTGTTACATGATCATTTTGTGGTTCTCAGGATATCCTGAACAACCTGGAACCTCCAGGAAGTGGAGACTTGGATGATGATGACCTCATGCTTGATGTGGACCTCCCAGAGGATGGCTTGCATGGTCAGCGCACACACACACACACACACACACACACACACACACACTGTGAGGTTATTCTATCGCCAATACAAATGCTTCTGTCTCATTGGCGGGATGTTTTCCTCTATTTTCTTATAAGTGGAAACCTCTATAGCAGAACTGTTCCGATCATAGTTGTAAATTAATGCATTACCAAGGTCTTAGCATTCTATTTCCAGCAATGTCCTTTTATGGCATATAATGGCTGGAATAAATTGAATCCTGCATTGCCGAGGGTGAATAGTTCCCTCTGCTACATCCATTAAAAATCTTTTATTGAACACCTTGCTGTCTATTATGTGCCGTTACTCTGTTAAAATTTGGTTGCTGAAGAGTTATTTAATTACAGCTCCACCACTGCCACACAACTGGCCTTTAATGAAAGATGGGCAGCTGACCTGGAGCAGTGTTCAGTCAGCTGTCTGGCTCTGTTTATATGAACAGATGCACACACGCTTGGGTATGGTACCAGCCCCTTCACGGTGCATATACAGGCTTAGTGGGAGTAGACTTCACATTTGATTGCCTTGACAACGGCAGTATGGTATATACATGACTGATTTAATAGCTCTCTATTCCACATAGCACCACCCCCTCCCATCTTGATACCATATCCATCTCAGCCTTGGAGTTTTCTACTTTGTGAATATAATAAGTTATCTCAATAGCATTGAGTAAAATAGCATCTTTGTAGGTGTAAAAGGTAATCGGGTCAGATTATTAACACATAATAATAGTGTTTACAGCGTTGTGTATTCATTGGGTAGTGTGTGTCACAAACATGAGAGACAGAAGGGTTGAGCAAAATGAATATAATTTGTCATGACTCATGAGCCATAATGAATTATAGGAAGTGAAGTTTTTCTTGTCAGTCCTGAATATTGGATAATACGTTTACTGCACACGTTGAATTACCGACATAATGCAAAGGGCACGTATGCCTCGTTCAAGTATATGGATGGGCTCAATCACATGCACACATGCACATATACCCACACAGTGGCCAGTTTATTAGGTACACTTTGAAATGCAGTCCACTGCAACAGCTCTGCAGTAAATTCCACATGTATCAAGTCCCTTATGTTCAGCTTTTGTTGGAAGTGTTTTAGAGGTGTTGATTTGACTTTATGGTCATATTGGAGGTTGTTGATTGTTGTGCTGTTGAATTGCATTCTGTTACACTGAGAGGCATTTCTAATATTTAGTCTACCCTCAGTGATGTAAACTACATCCTCCAAAATGACCATAAAGTTAGATTATTACTTCTCTAAAACAGCTTCAATAGAAACTGAACATCATAATCTTCACTCTGGTAGAGTCTTTTGCAGGCCTGTTGTATTACACTGCATTTGTTTTAGCTAGGTGGGCCTAATAAACTTTCAACTAGCTATACATTACTGAGGCAGCTTTACAACCCTGATGTCATTCTTTAGTCTTTAAACAGTGCTCTCCTTGTTTTTGAGAGAAGAACACAGAGAGAGAGAGAGAGAGAGAGAGGGAGAGAACTGTTCCCTCCAGAGGAATGTGAATTGGAGTGTCATCCTTTCCTACTCCTTTTCGGGAAGCGGCCGTATTTATAGCGCTCTATGTCATGGCCGGAGTTAGGGTCATGAGAGTCAGAGAGAAAGCAAGACGGGTTGAAGAGTCCAGTTAGACCCGGCCCACAGGGCAGGCCCGGGAAGGGTGGTCCCTCCCTTCCAGAGACACCCTGACTCTGCCACAGAACAGGAAGAGGGGAAAGGGAGAAGAGGCCTCATGTCATATTTTCCTCCAGTCGTCGGGTCCCGTGACAGGAGAGAGGCCCCAGCTTCTTTCCCTTGCCTGCCGATGCTGCTGACTTTCTAGCTTGGACACAAACCAGTCAACTTGGCTGCTCCCTCACCACCACCACCACCACCACCACAGTTATTTCTCCCCAGCTCCAGTTCCTAGGGAGTTCCCAGAAAAACAAGGGTGTCAACAAAGACAGAAGCAGGCAGAGTTGATTTTCCCTCTCTGGCCCTTTAACTGCTCACCAACTGACTGGACAAGGAGTCATTTCTCTCCACTCTCTTTCTTAGTTTCTCTGCCTCTGTGGATTTCTTTCCTACAAGTTTACTTTTTAGTGGGCTTTTTCTGAGCTCAAAAAGGGTTATTGGAGGTGCCGAATTTTCCTGGAATGAAACAGTTCAGGATCAAGCAGAAGGTCCACTCCTGTGCTGTGTGGTGACACTCGGGGTAAAGTATTTTAACCACCACTGCTGCAGTACTTGAATTGGGTCTTTCAATCTTCCAATATTTCTTTATCTCTTTTTCTTTTTTTCCTTTTTTCCTTTTTCTCTCAGTCAAAGGACTATCTGGAGTATAGAAAGTCACGGGTCCTTTTGATTTCCTAGGGGTCACACTCTGTTAGTGGTCAATTTTGTTGCGGTCACAGTTAATTTCACAGCTATGTGCTATTGAGTGTCACCAAATACTGTGTCCTTTTTACCTTCTCGAAAATGAAATGGCCCGTCACCGTTTGTGCGACACTTGAGAGAAATAAGAGAATGAGGCGGATCAGATCATGATTTATATGCAGATATTCTAGAATAGAGTATCTGAGATATACACAGCAGCAATCATCACCATAAGATATGAAAAACTGACTCTGTCTTGCATTTTGTGTTTGTGTGTACCTGTGTGTAGTGGTTGTAATGGACAGAAACTGTCAGAGGAAAACAGAGAAAAAAACATATTCTATCTTTTGCAGAATACTACTCGTCTTTAACCACAAACATGTTCTATTTTCACTATAGAAGAGAAATGGAAGAGATTTTCTTAAACTTTGCATCTCTACTGCATCTACAGCAAACCCCAAACACTGTTTTTTGATTGCACAGTCTATATGATCTTTTATCTCTCACTTGCATCCTCTCTGTTTCAGACATGCACAGGTTGCTTTACTCTGGCTGACTTTGCGCTAAATTCTTCCCATATAGACGCTGACAGGATGTCTCACTTTGAACGCTCAGAGAGGGCCGGTCGGCAGGGGCAGCGACGCAGACACCATCGCTGGAGTGGACCCGATCACTTCTACAATGATAGCAGGTTGTTAAGGCCTGAAAGATTAATACACGTGGCCAGATGAGAAGTAAAAAGTAGATTCTGTTCTTCTGTCTGCCTGACTCTCTGTGACTGTGTCTCTCTTTTCGTCTCTTTCTCAGGGCCCACGTCGTCCAGCACTACGACGGTCTCAAGGCTTCAAGGATCTCTTCACGGCCGGTCCCACCTGAAGGCAGGCAGAGTGGCTACAAGGCAATGCTGGATGAACTCACGCTCAAGCACATGACTCAGGACTGCAGCTCGCTCAAGAATCAGCTGCTCAGGCTCAAAACATTACTACAGGTTTGTTCGACCCACGATGAATGAACACAAACATGTACACTTGCATGTACCAAAAGGTGCACAGTGACACACATGAATGCAGGCGTACAGTTCTGCAGGACAGCAACACATACACATACAAAGACTCAACCGTGGACCTTGAAACTCTCTGACTCTTATGTTTGTCGTTGTTCTAATGCCGTTGCATCACCCTCAAGTCACAGACAGATATTGTTGCCTACCCCGGGCTTCTATTTTATTCTTATAATTAGTTTTAGTATAGTAAACTGTCTGGATTTTAGTTTTGATTTCAGCTGCTGTTTTGTCTATTAAATGCAGCTTTGTATTAGTTTGCTAGACTGTTCAATATAATAATTCTCTTATTAGGAGTATACTGCATCATTGTCCTCAGGTGTTCGGTATCGGCAACATGAGAAGTATTTTCTGACAAAACTGAACAAAGCTAGTTTTATTTTGAATGTGGTTCCACATGAAGTATTTAAATGTTTTAAAATGTCTAATTATACTGGTTTAAAGAGTACTGTCATCGCACAGTGCTGCTGCCCTGTATTTAAACAAAGAAAGATGTTTTAGGTAAAGAGACGGTTTTAATGTGCTGCACATGAAGCGTCAAAGTATTTTCTTTGAAGATATTAGAGGCTCTGGGCCTCCTTCTCTTTAAATGCACATTATGTGATCTGTAGTTTGCATATTAGCGTGCGTACATGCATATACATGTATATATCTGTGCTTGTGTGAAACTGATAACTTAATATATCTTTCTCTGTCAGTTTGTCAGTCTGAGAATTCCATTTAATGGGAAGAATAGAGGGTGACAGGGAAGGAGAGGAGAGGAAAAAAAGACGTCAGCTACAGAAATGTGCTCCTGCATTTGAGATGAACACACAAAACCCACAACGCCATCGCTGAAAATGCACAGATCACTCTGCACACTGAGTACAAGGAAATTATCTTGAATGCCTCGACTCAATTTACCCTTTACAACATAAATGTCACATTTAAATCAAATGTCTCCCGCAGATGCATTGTGCTCACTGCAATTAGTCAAACGCTTTGGCTGTATAGCCTCATGAGGGAAAATACGTCTGTCGCCCCATTAGTAACCCTGTTCTTAAAATGAGCCTCCAGCCTCCAGCTGAATCCTAATTGATCTTTGCTTCAGAGTCGGTTATATAGAACTGCTGGTTGTAACTAAATGAATCTTCCTGACCGGAATATGGAGCAGGTGAAATGTAGTGTTGAAATAAAATGTATATTTCAGATGTTGACTGAATATTTATCAACTATTTGATTCATTTTAGAATGAGGAAAACTTCCATGAATGAAACTATTTCACATTGTAAATTCAACACCTTTTTGTGACTCTTGGCCTGATTAAAATATGCAATTTCAAAACTTTTATTTGCTCAAATGACCTGTGATTCTTCTCATTCTTGATCACCAAACACTTAATCAAACATTAATTGGTAAAATCATCAAAGAATGTAATTAGTGTTGCATTACATATTCTGTCTACACGAGATGAAGTGTGGATCTGCTTTGGAAAACAAAAATACACAAGTACTCCATACAAACTTTTTTATTTTTTGTATTCCGTGAAATAAATGAATTGAAAGTTTACAGCAACACTCTGCCTCAGGTGACAGTTCAGGGTCAGCAGAGCATATGTGCTTAAGACTAAAGTTTTTCCACTGTAGAAAATATTGCTCTTGAGGCATGCTTAAGGCAATTATCATTGATCCAGCTCACCGTGTACTCTCTCTGTGTGTGTGTGTGTGCTTCTAGCTCGAGGATAACGAATCTCCAGCAGATCTTCCTGAAGAGGTTGAGGACAATACCGCTGCATCACAGGTAAAGAAACTTCATCTTAGGTTTATAGCAGTGATTGATTTGAGATGCTGTATACAAATATATATTCTTTTATTCAGTTTACTGTATGCGTGTCTGTGTTTTCAGTCGGAGGAGCTGATTAAGGAAGTGCAGTTGCTCAGAGAGGAGCTGAGGAGTCGAGACCAAACTATTGCTCGGCTCACAATGCAGTGTCAACAGCTGCAACAACATCATCAGCGGGAACAAATGGTGAGTTTGTTGAGGAAGGAAGAGCATGTCATTAGTGTTTTTAATGCACAGAGTGGGCAGACAGAACAATGTGGAGAAACTGAATGACAAAGTTGGATAGATTAACTGAAAACATGCAGTATATGAATAATGTGCTTCAGACAAGACCTGGACAATGGACACACATGTATGGTTTGAACTTCATTTTTGCTGTTATGAAGGGGTTTCTACATGAAGTATTCATGAATGACATACAGCATGGGGGCGCTCGTACACTGTCACGTGATCATACATAGAATATCAATGCAGGTTCATCTTCAGTCGTGTATTCCAGCATCTAGACGCGTGATCCTCGGGCACATACAAACAGGCCTGTAATAGCTCCTGTGCTCATGTTTGCTGATTGCTTTCATGTAGCCTTCAAACATGCATCTTCTCTTCAGGGAGTTCACTGCCGTGACACCAATTCTCTGACAGAGCTGAGATGGTTAAGCATGCCTGGGCACAGCCTTCCATTATCTTTTGTTTACCCCAATACCTGATTTATCCGATTTCATAAAGACAGAGCGTGATAAGAAGGAGTCGAGCAAACAAGGATAGGAGAACAAATTCTATGAACTTAATCTGTCAGAGAGGGACTGATAAAAGCACACAGTGTGGAAGGCATGTGATACAGGTACAGGGTCACCATTCAGATTTCTAGTTGTCACTGAAGACATACTGGTGCCCTTCATCTCAGGTGGGAGTTCAGTTCTGCACTCACACGTGCACCCTAGTGCGTGTCCTTGCGCGGTTTGCGAATGCCTACCAAATAACTACCGTTCTGTTTGCTTTTAGCTGCCTCCGTCTCCACTCTCTAACATTCATTAGTGTCTTGACCAGGCTCGCTTGTTAGCCAAACAACCGTATGCTTCGCTGACATCATTCAAATCCCTGCCGTATTGAGAAATACCAAAATGTCAAAGCGAGGCCTGTCCTCCAGCCTCCCTGCCGCATTCTATCCCTCCAATTAGAATCAGCACCCACCCACAGCAGTCTCTTCAGACAGAGCACAATATTGTCGCAACCTCACGCACAATAAGCAAAGAGAGTAAGAAAAAGCTGGGACATGTTTTCAGATCTCTGCCTGACATTAATGAGTGTAGAGGCTGAGCCAGTGAAGATGTTGGGGGGGGGGGGGATCAGGCTCGGATCTGTTTAATGGGTTGACGAAGCCTGAATACTTGGTCGTGAGGAAATACCAATTAGAGCGACACTGGTTCAGAGCCTGTGAAGATTGCCAGCCATTTTGGTTCACACAATATCTAGAGTTAGAACGTCGAAGGCTTCCCGACCTGCTGCTTGTCCTCCAAATTGGTTGAGAGACGATGTTACAGTTGGTTAAGAGTCAGGTATACGGAGGGAGGCGAAGTGTTACAGAGAGAAACTGCTGAGAGACTGAAGAGGGGGAACAGTTAACTGAATTGAACATAACAGAGTAATAAGAAAACAATAGAGTAGCTGTGTGTGGCGGGGAGACAGTCTGTTGCAGTATACTGTGTGTGTGTGTGTGTGTGTGTGTGTGTGTGTGTGTGTGTGTGTGTAGGGCTGAGAGGAGAGAAAATGAAATAATGGGAGAGAGAGGAGTGGAGCTATCACAGACAGAAAACTGATTTCTCAGTCTGACTTGACAGAATGCAGTTTTGGATGCAGCTTCCGCCGCCGTTGAGGCAGACTGCTCATGATTATGCGCTCTTCTGGTTTGAGCTGTTTTCACCAAAGCTGGCAAAAAAAAGAAAATAGCAACTTCTGTCAGATTCTGCCATATACTTTGCAGCCGAGCACAAGTTGCGCTGCTCTTTATTCACGCATAAGGAAGAGTATGAGATTCTTACAGAAATGGTTACAAAATGATTTAGCGCACCACATTGGCTGCTCTGTCGTTTATTTCTATATTGGATTGAGGTACCCGCTCATAGTAAAGGCTCGTAAGTCACATGTATTACTCACATCAGTTAGTTAGTCATCGTGGTTTTACCAAATGAAAAAGGAGGTAATTTTCTTGTGCTTCAAGTAAATATCAACGAGTTTAATTTACTGCAAGACCTTTAGCCATTTACCAACCTGAGCTTGATTTTCTCTGATGATTTCCCATCATGCCCCTCATTTATCTGTGGAGATACAGGATGACATTTCATTGCTGCAGTCTGGTAATATGCATTGATCTTTTAAAAATGCCATCTGTTTTATTTGTGAAATTAAAGCAGCTACGTGAAGAACATAATGCATTTTTTCTTTGTCTGTTAATACATGTAATTATATCAGATATTTTACAACCTGCTGTGTTTACTGCTTAGGTTATACATTGAGACAACCGGTAATGCCAGATATAAAACCCAACAATTACATTTTTTTTTTCCTGCTCTTCAAAGTAAGCAGATATCTTTTCTCAAGCCATTTATCATTCGAACGATTCATTGCACTGTTATTTGACTGCTCTGCAGAGTGACAAGCTTATTACCAGCATGGAGTAGGAAAACATGGCCCATGGGTCAAAACAACATAATTATTACAACATTCTACGCTTTCTTTTATTGATTTATTCATTCTTGCCCCCTCAGCCTGCTCAAGGATGGCCGGTCAGGTGTCAGTGCCACCACCAGAGGGCTCCCTCTTCACTACGACAGAGCGACCGACAGATGGACAAACGGACGCAGCCTCACTATGACAAGGCCACCCAGACGTACTGGAGACCACCAAGCCAAGTTGTGAGTCCAAACACTCACAGCACACATAACGGCTCTCTTGAAGTGCTCAAAGATAAAACACTGGTTCAGAATAATAAGTGTGTTTCACCTCATTTCAACAGTTACCAGGATTTTATTAGATACCAGCACTTGCCTGTATCTCCGTGTAACACTCACATTGGTCCCTCAGTCAGTTTCCCGTTCATTTGCTGCCTCTCTCAGCCATGTCTGAATTGTTCAATGACTACATCATGTCCCCTCTATGGAATGCAGTTTACTGGGGTGTCAGTGGGACGGTCTCACACTCTAATACCCAGATCTCACACCAAACAGGGAGTTGTGAGGCTGGTGTTAATGTTCGAGTGACTGAGAAAGAGGAGATGAACAGTTGGAGGGTGGGAGGAAAAGGGAGAGGGATTCATGGAGACAGACAGACAGACACCAAGAGGTGGAAGATGGATAGATATGTGTTCAGCTTGTTCATCATCATGCCACACTAGCATGCTGTGTGGCAGCCAAGTATTGATTCAATAGCAGGAGTGTCACAGGGAGGATGCCTAGTAAACACTCTCCTAATTGACCTGCTCTCATCCTTCAGTGTATGATACGTGCACACACACACACACACACACACACACACACACACACACACACACACCTAAAGATAAGATATAATAAATTATAGAAATGAGGCCCGGTGAAAAACTGATTTGTCAAAAGCACATTTTATTGGGGTACATGAGCTACAGAGGAAAGAAATAAAGGATAAAACAAGCTCACTAATAACTACAGTAGGTCCCTGCTTACCACAAGAGCATTATAGTTTAACAGTTGCTATGGCAACCATCAAAGCAGGGCTAGTTGTGCTCGACAGGAAGCGTCTCCGTGGGAACATCTACCTGTGACCTAGAGCGCCTGGTGTACAATAACACGTACAAACACAGTTGAGACTTTTCTCTCTGTTCTGTCAACTTTTTTTGATGTGTTTTTGTGTTTTGCAACCATCTTCAATTTAAGTTACTTTGTCGTCACCAGAGTGGAGACTATTTCCTCCGCAGCACTGTGGGGACAAGCACATTATGTTGGTGTCATTCTGTTTTTCTGAGCATGCGTTTGCTCTAAAAGGTTAGCTCTGAGTTTTTTTGACAAGATAACAAGAAAAGAGCGTGAAAGAGTAAACAAATAACGGAGAGAAAGGGATGTTTCTCTCTCTGTTATTCCTACTTTTATATTGAATCAAAGCTTTTGGTACCGCGGTGACAGGTTTAGCACCTACAGCGAGCCCGGGTTCACGGTGTTCCTCAAACAATGCTTTGCTTTCACCTCGTGTTTTTCACACAATCCTTCAATGCCTTTTTCGAAATCTGTCTCTTGAGCTATTCTCTTTCTAACCTTTGCCATTTGTTGGACAAATATTATTTTCTTTTTCCCCACTCGCACATTCATTGAGTCTGTATTTCACTTTTCACTACTTCTCCTCCAAAACACACACACACACACACACACACACACACGTTCATAATCTGCTGTCATCTGTATTGTTTTTTCCTCTTGCTCTCTGAAAGGCCGTTTCCTGTTGATTTTTGGCTCCTCTGACATTTAAAGTGCCGCTTCATCATAGCGCTGGAGTAGCTCTTGCCCTGCGATAGTATTTTTTGAGTGCTAAGCTGAAAGGATCGGCCCAGAATATTTTTGATGTCAAAGGCCAGCAGCTATAATCTTTTTATAGCTTTAATTCTGATATCTAGTTGGCTTATCAGTAGCCCACAGGCTAATGTGTGGGACTGGGAGGTCCAGGGTCTTTCCTGCAACTTGAACATGGATTCAGGAGAAATCTCGCTGTGCTTTGTGCTCAGATGAACAGTATAACAATGGAGTGAGCTCGTGGTCTATGACCCTTGGACTATTTAAGGGCTTTACTGTTACCGTTCGTTATTCAAGCAGTTGATATATTCTCTTCTAGAGAGCCATTCATTCCCATCATTTCCTTTCTGGAACCACAACATTGTGGGCTGTCACTCAGTAGACTGCTTTAAACAATTCCACTGTTTGTGATGAACTCATCTCCTTACTTCTTCTCAATCTGTAGGAAGGCTTTGGTGACCCATCCTAACCAACTGCTTTGGGCACGAGCTCCTGCAGCTTCCCATTTTAATCTGCTTACAATCCAATTTTAAATTCCAAAAGCATGCTCGGGAAAAGAAGAAGAAAAACAGTCTCACAATATGCCGTGAGTACATATGAGTATGTGTCTGTCAAGCAGGAACAGTGGACACGCGTGTCGCAGCAAGACGCACATGTGGTGTGGAACTGGAAACTACTCAAGTGTCACTTGTGGAAAAATAACCGTCTTGAATATCTCCCCGGAGCAATCACAGCAGCAGTAATGTTTTCTTCGCCTCCTCTGCTTTTCGCAACAAATAAAACATGAGCAGTATTTTTAATAATTTCAGATGTACAACAGTAGAAAACTGTGCAGCCGTGTGTGTGTGTGTGTGTGTTTGGGGGGGGGGGGTGTATCTCTTGTAGTCAGTGTGACTGAACAATGGGTTCAGCAGACTGAGGACCAGGGAGCCGACCTTGTTAATAGCCCAGATAAACAAACATGCAGATGAGCAGCAGCAGTGAAACAATGGCAACACAATAGGCAATGTTTCATCAGTGGCAGAAAGAGAAGATAATTACAGCTGCCCTCCTCCTCCCTCTCTGCCTTTTAAACATCCTCCAATTCACCTCTTCTTTGGTTTTTTTATCACTCCAGCTCTCTGTCTGTTTTCGTTCTTTCTGTCTTGCTTCAGTGATTCTCCCTGTATGTTGGTCTCTGTCATCCTTCCATTGACATTACCTCTCTACTTTTTAGCTCAGTTGTAATTAGATCAATTTGCTGTCAGAGAGAGAGAGAGAGAGAGAGAGACAGAGGGAGACAGAGGGAGGACAGGGAAGGGAGAGGCAGGGGCATTTGAACAAGCTTAGTGATCAGTTTTAAGCTGTGTAGGTTGAAAGAACAAGTTTTTCGCCTCTCAGATCCTGACATTACCTCTCCACCCACACTCCCTCCGTCTGCCCCCTCGCATTACAGACACACCATCACACATGCACGCTCATTAACACGCAACGCACAGCGGAGTCATCTCGGACAGGTGAGGATTTAATTGCCAGAGTCTGTGAAGTGAGACGTTGTAGCCGAACCTGAGGTATTAGCTGTAGCCAGCCACGAGAAGCTCCGTGTAGTGGATTAGAGGATTAGCATCACGGAGTCCTCTAAATTCTGTTGTTATTTGATGAAAAGGTTGGAGGATCACAAAGAACAACTTTTGACTTGACTTTTAAATTCTTATCCTACTTCAAAAAGTTTTGCTTTGGGACTGTGCACAGACAAACTATGAGAGGGGCCTCTGGTGAACAGACTACTACCACCATAACTGATGTGGTAGTTATTTATGTTGGTGAGAATGACGTCTAAAACAAGACTAACCAACCAACCAATCAGAAGGAGTTGTGAGTGCAGCAACAAGGATGAGAACCCTCGCCTGTTTTTCCACTTGTGAAGAGTTGTGTTCATTGGAAAAAGCAGGCATCAAACCCAGGGTCTCTGTACTGGTGGGAGAGAAATGAAAGAAGTTTTTGATGGAATATGAAAAACTTTCCTATTTTCACAATTGCTGTCTCCCTGTCCTCGTAAAGCGCTGTCAGCCCTTCATTGGAGAGTCTTCACAGATATGGAAAACTGAGAAATTGACAGGCTTCGCTGCTACCGAGGTCTAATAAAGCTGCCAGACACTGTCAGACACGTTCTAGAGCCCTCCAACATACCCTCTTGTTCTCATCGCCTGAGGTTTTCCTCCCTGCAAATGAAGCCTCGACAGGAGGCTTCTGGCAGCATCTCCCGCTGAAGCAGTTGTTGGTGTTCAAGGAACGACATGGACGAGAGCAGATCAGGGCAACCCATTCCTCCCCCTCTAGCAGACGCACTAGGGGGGCTCTGAAATAGCTTGGGCTGGACCTGCTGGGAAGTTGCTGCTTTCCCCTCCTCGTCTTCTATCGCTCTCTATCTGTTCCTTCTTCCCTCTGATTCCGTGCTCCTCTTTTCTATAATAGAGTCCTGTTTGAGCAGCGGCCCTCTCCACAGCAGAGGAAAGAAGTGATAAGGTTTTAGTCCGTCTGTCCGCTTAACGTGATGGCCATGCTTCCTCTTCACTTTGCCTCTCCTCATGGGGGCCTGGAGATTTGCTATCAATAAAAGGGCTTGTTTTCTTTCAGGTACATGTTCGTGCTCACAATATACACATGCTGGTTTGAACAAAATGTTCAGACAACAAAAACTAAATGTGATAAATGGAGATAGTTGAACAGATAGACGGCAAACAGTCTGACATATATCATTCACAATGAACCACACGTTCAATGATTTCAGCTGTCACATTGTGCCTCAGTTAGATTAGATCGTCGGACTTTTGTGACTAATTATACTCCAAGTGTAAACTTATCATCCTTGCGCAGATCGTCTTAACCCAAAACTGATGTACTAAAGAGAATCTGAAAAGTATCTTCATCATATTCAGTAGACATGCATCAAATTCACAACTAGTGATGGCATCACATCTTTATGCACCCCCCCCCAGCTTGTAAAAGTTGTCCTATCAATTATCAAAGTGATGGGTGGAAAAGTTGTCCTTTCCTGTGTCACCTTGTTTTTTGCACTGCCTAAGATGGAGTGCTCTTCTTCAATGGATTGTAGTCTTGGCACTGGGGATGGTTTTTAATGGATTTGACTATATTTATGGATAAACAATGACACAGTAGGAGGAAGAAAATAGTTTTCAGGGTGGCCCGGGGAGAAACAACATAAAGACTATTGGAAGTCTCCAGGTAGCCGATGTTTTATTGGACGATGAGTAGAATGTGTCAAACGATGTGATAAAATAATCTCCTGGGTTTGAGCAAATGCACACATTATAGCATTATGGTGGCAACAGGTGTGGAGAGCAATGATTTGCTTCATTGTCAACACAAAACAATTTCCTATTAACAGATTAATAATGTGATGTGGTGGAGAATTTAAGAGTTTATAGTACTCTGTGTGTTTGCGTTTGTGCGTGTGTGTGTTTGCATGTGTGTGTGTTGACTGAAATGAAGACTGGGACCAAAATATTGTCCATTGAAATACATTTGTGGTTTGAAGTCAGTGTGCAGCCAAACATTGTTCAAATCACATCATTTTATTTTGAATTCTAGTAGAGATCGCAAAGTGTCCAGAGACGCCAAATAGCACTCAATTGTGGGCAAATGGGTGCCGAATTACCTTCATTTGAGGGAATAGTGCTGCCATAAAACAAATGGATCCTGGGTTGAATATTTCACTAATGTATCCTGTATGTATGTCACTTCAGTGAACAGTTGGATCAAGCAGATGCCTAATCTTTGCAGTTTACTGTATGATACAGTCAGACAGTGTGGGATAAGAGTACTTTTCCAACACAGAAAGCTACTTAAGGGTAAAGGAAAGAGGGAGCCTTGATGGTAACACTAACACTCGTTAACACTACAACTGAAATGTAGTTTTTATTTTTTTATTTAAGAACGTGGTGTTTGAGTTTGTGTCGGTATAGTGTGTGTGTGCAAATCTGTTTGTTTGTGTGTAAATTGGGCTTGCCATACTCATTAGCTGCGAGTGTGTGTTTTCTGTGTTGGCATGCCTCTGTGGGTGTGAATGTGTGGGTGTGTGTTCTGGTACGTCATATGCCTTTTGTCCTTTGTGTTTCTCTCTGTGTAGGGTGCGCTGCCCACCCCATTGCTGTCCCCGTGGCAGGCACAGCACCAGGGCTTGACCCGTACCAGCATGCCCCAGCGCAGACAGAGTGAGTCACTAACATCCTCTTTGCAGCCTCTTCTCCATCCTTTCATAACACAACATATCCATAGGTCTGTGAATAGCCTGACTTTATCTCCAATTAAAACCCTCGGTACTGCTGAAATATCTTTGTACCTTTGCAGCTTTTTTTCCATTGCGCAATATCAGGATGGTTTGTCCTGTATGTCTCTTTTTAGATGAATTTGAAACAAATTACTAACATGCAAAGTTTTCCTTGTTCGTTTCCCTAAACACAGTCTGACTTATTGACCTCTTACCAATTCATTTTCTGGTGTTTTTTCCCCCTGAGCCGCCTATTTATAGCTTCAGTTCCCCTTGAACTGTGTGTAGTCAGAAACTGGCTGACTTTGTCGACTTTCGAAAACCTGCAGACACCTGCATTTCTAACTCTCACTTTACACCCCTAAACTGTTTGTTTAGACAATATATCTCCCATAATTTGCATTAAGAACAGTATCAATTCACACTGCAATCTAACAATATAATTGTTTCCCTAACAGAGGGATGTATCTGCTGTCCTTGACCAAACAGTACACATGACCACAACATGGTCTTTGCTTTGAATGCTTTAAATTAACATTATTTCTGTCGACTGAAACAGTTTGACTTCATTGAGAAAGACGGTGCTGCTGAAAAAACAATGAAAGCACAGTCACAAAAGCAGCGAATCCCACACCAAAGCTATTGTATTATGCTGTGCTGATGAGGTAGCAAGTAGAGGAGGCAGAGGATGGCAATGGGTAAATAAATAGACTACAGAAAATACACATATGTGCGAGACCGAAGAGGAAAAGAATAAAGAAAGAGACAAAGAGAACAACCCACGCTGTGTTCTTTTGATCTATCCCCGTGGGGCTCAGCTTTCTATCGAGGGGGAAGGTGATAAAAATGTGGCACAGGTGTGTTTTATTTCAGTGCATCTCAGGTTATTTCAATCTCGAGTGACCTTCTGCTTATAGAGTGTTTTGACAAATATGCGAGAACAGCCCAGCATTCAGTCAAAGTGCATTTGTCCTCCCACCAGTAGATTGCATGGTCTAATTAAACAAAAGACAGCATATCAAAAGATCATCTGTACAGTAGTAGATCTAAGATGATAAACATCTGATGTGACCACTAATGCTCTGGCCGCCCTCTGGGAGCTCTGGCCGTCACCAAACCAGCAAAGAGTTCTTGCCATTAATGCGGGTTTTTGGAAAGACTGATTAGAGAAGGAGCTGCACTCTTCACCCAGGTTGTGCTGAATGGGATGCAGTAATTATATTTTGCATTAAATTAGTTTGTATGTTGAACTAATGTGTGACCTTTTTTTGCAAGCATGGGCTGGGTGTTAATGCTGTATTTAAAATGTCTTAACTCCAACAAGCGTCTTTCTTACACGTCGGGTCCCCCTCCCCGTTCTCTAGTGTCTCTCTCTCTCTCTCTCTCTCTCTCTCTCTCTCTCTCTCTCTCTCTC